CCCGAGTGCACCCGGTCTCACCCACCTAGGCAGGCAGGGGTTGGGGGGTCAGGGGGTTGGGATGTCAGGGGCCCCAGCTCTGGCTAGAGGCATCCCCACCCTTTTTACACCACAACCAGCAGCATCTCCCCTTCCCCGCTCAGCCCCCACGCTGGGGACATGCCAGGGCTGTCCCCATCCTGCACCCGTGAGAGCGAGGCCAGAGGGACAGCGACCAGCGGGCCGGCAGGAGAGCGGTGAAGCACCAGGAGCAACTCCTGCACCGAAATCTGACCTTGAACGTGGAGCTGGGCAGTGAGTGGGAGCAGGTGCCCGTGCCTGCGGGCAGCCCTTGTCTGGATTTAACCCCAGGAAAGCTCCCGGGCTCCCTCCCTGTGTGTGGGGCCAGAGCTGCCCCAGGGACCCGTCACAGCCTCTCAGGCTCTGTGCCACAGCCCGTTATCTTCTCATCGTGGGGTTGCACCTTGTTGTGAAAGCCGGGCGCTGGCAGAGGCCGTTGCCAGCGGCTTCCTCCCCACTGAAATGGCCGTTTTGGGTGCGTGACTGCCCTGGGTCGAGGTTTTGAGGCTGTGTGTTCCCAAGGAGGGCACAGCCCTTCTGCTTGGTCACCTCCTTCCCAGCCTGGCATCACGCTGCCACGTAGCCCAGCGCAGACATCGGCCCCTGGGCCGTGCTGGGGCCGGATCCTCCCCCCACTCTGCACCAACGGGGAACTGTCCTGTTGTGCAACAGTGGTGACGGTGGCGAGGCAGGATGGGTCTGGTGGGGCCACACACGCGGGGACCGGCCTCGGCGCTGCCCGGGGCTGCCCACCCATCACTGGCAGGAGCTCAGAGCTGCCCCCAGCCCCGCACGACCCCCAGCACCAACCAGCCCAGCTGCAGGAGCTGGTTTTGGGGAGAATAGCTGGAAAACATCTTCCACTGAACCCGTGCCAAAGGCTGACCCCCAAACTGGCAGAGAAGCTGCCCGTTCCCGGCCCTTCCCACATCTACACGAAGGGCGTTTGCAGAAGGGTCATCCCCAGGAGTCCCTTAACCTCCCAAGTCCTCTCTCCCACCATGGGCCGGCCCAGACACCGGGACAGCCCAGAGCTTCATCCCATCCTGTGACAGACATTACATCAACCAGGAGATTTTAAAACCAGCTCATCTGAGAACTTCTCTGAGCATCTTTGCTCACACACATCCAAACCTGCTCCCACGGCAATGTCCCGGCCATGTTTAAGCAGTGGATGGGACTTGGAGCGCTTGGAAACCCAGCTTGAAGGCACAAAGCTCAGTGTGGCCATGGGAGTTTCGGGGCTAAGGCCCCGGCAGCCATGACACGAGGGCTGGCACCGCACTGCTGTCCCTGTCCCCTGGCAGCACACCCTGGCCCCTCTTCCTACGAGCGCTCATTCGAGGTTAATAGGGCTGGAGAAATGGGCTGTCGCCCAGCACTTACTCCTGAAAGGCCCCATTTCTTCCTTAATTGCAACTCAAGCAGCCATGACACGAGGGCTGGCACCGCACTGCTGTCCCTGTCCCCTGGCAGCACACCCTGGCCCCTCTTCCTACGAGCGCTCATTCGAGGTTAATAGGGCTGGAGAAATGGGCTGTCGCCCAGCACTTACTCCTGAAAGGCCCCATTTCTTCCTTAATTGCAACTCAAAATCAAATTAGTGGTTTTAAATTTACTCTGTACCCAAGAGGTACTGGGGTTTTTTTTTGGGAGAGGACACGCTGTACCCTTCATCCTTACATAATAAAAAGGGCAAATTCCTTCTTTGAGGGCAAAAATGCTGCCACCACCTCCTTCTGGTTGGCCCATTGCTTCGGTGTCTTTGGGTCCCTGCAGATGGAGTTGCTCATCCTGGATTCAGGATGAGCCTTTGGGGTGATGGAGATGCTCATCCCAGACTTGGGACTGCCCCAGCTTCCCCAAGATTCCGCATCATTGGGCTCACTGGGGGGTCACTGTGACCACCCGGAGCCCCCAGTGCTGCTGCCAGGGCTGCATGTGCCCCCCACACCCACGAAGGACAGCGAGGATGCAGTGCACGGCCGGGGAGCTGGGTCACGGCCGCAGCACACTTGGGGCCAAGGACAGCACCGGCTGCATTATTGACGCTGTAATTCAGCACCCATGGACTAGGACGTGGTTTCATTTCCTGGGCATAGAACCCCCCTGGGGGAGTTAGTCGAGGAGTCGGCAGCCACCCCGCACAGCCTGCACCCCCCCGGGGGTGGGAGCTGCCTCAGAGCTCAGCCGTGAGCCGGGGATGTGCCAATGCTTTGGAAGCTGCTCCCCAGTGGGGAGTGGGGCTGTGTGTGCACAGAAAGCCTCAGTGTGAGCACACACACACATGCACCCGCCAGCCTGCGTGCACAGCTCACACCCCGGGGAACCACGCTGCCCCGGGAGCATCCTCCCGGCTGCTTCTGCTGCAAATTTCTGCCTCTTCCAGCTGCAGAGCCGCCACTGCAGCAACCCTGGGGTCCATTTGGTGCAGGCCGTGGGTGCTCCCCACTGATGCTGTTTGTCGGTGCTGCCAGATGCATGCCGGGCCCCAGGGCAGTCCCTGTGTGCAGCTGGGGATGGTGCAAAGAGGCCACGAGCGTGGCAGGGCCTGTGGGTGCGTCGGCCTCACCGGAGTGGGGCAGGGGGAACCCGGCACTGCCCGTGTCCCTGTCCGGCTCCCTTCGCCAGTGGGTGCCACCTGGGCCAGGCTGGCAAATCCTCCCCCAGCATACCATGTCCCTCAGGGAGGAATGGGACATCCAACGGGTATTTAAGAACCCTTGGTGTGACTGGGAACCCCCCGCCAAGGTGGGCAGGGTACCCCATGGTGCCCAGCCACGTGTGGTGGGATGAGGGGCTGGGTAGGGAGGGGACACAACCGCATCAGAGCTGAGAGCCAGGTTGGAGGAGGTGTCAGTCCAGGGGAAAGCCCTTCCTCTGGGTATCTGCCCCCACCTCGCCCCAGGGACCGAGCAGGACCAGGGCGCAGCATCCCGACTGGTGCACAGCCCCGCTCCTGCCCGCAGCGACGCGCCCCCGAGACACTGGCTTGCCGTTCGTTCCAATATAATCTTTATTGGGGAGACTGATGGGGTTAGAACAAGGCCGGGTATAAAACATGATCATTGTCACAACCAGCAGCGGGAGGCATTGGCAGAGCAACACAGAAACGATATCGGCCCCCATTCTCCACCGTCAGCGGGGTGGGACCCGGGGCTGTGCCGGCAGCATCGCCTGCTCCCTCGGGGCAGGCAGGGGGTTGGTATGGCCCCTCTCCCTGGGTGGATGCTGGGCTTCGGCCACTGCTGGGGGCTGCTCTTCCCTCCAGAAGAGCCAGGGTGTGGGGCTCCACAGGGCCCCTCTGGCTCGCCCAGCACCAGTGCCCTGGGACCGGGCACTGCAGGCCCCCGGTGCTGCAGCTGTGCCGGGTTGTGCTGCTCAGCCCCGCAGAAGCACCCGCAAATTATGGCTTTTTCTTTATTTTTTTAGGTTTATTTTTTTGCTTTTTTGGCAGCAAACTCATCCCTCCAGGTGCCCTGGAGAAAGCAAGACTGTGCACAGGGGGCTGCTGCCGTGCCAGGCCCTCCACACAGGGGTCAGAGCAGAGGTGCTGCTCCGGGGAAGGGACTGTGGGCAGGAGCCAGACCTCTGCCCCCCTGCCCAGCTGAACCCCCTCGAGTACCGGACCCCCCGCCACCCCCTTGAGCCATCCCACGGGGCATCGGTGCAGGGCACCGGGAGGAGTGGCAGCGAAACGGGAACAGCTCAATGCCTTTGTGAACGCGTAGCGGCCTGGGATGGGGTGGCCAGGGATGGATGGGGAAAAACCAAGAATCCTCCAAAACGAGGATAAAGTGGAGCTTTCCTCAAGGGCCTGCGGAGGAAACGGGCCGCGTGTCTGCTCGCAACCGAGGGGCTGGTGCGGCGGCTTGGCGTGGCTACAACAACTCGGGTGCGTGG